ACAATAGAAGCAGAAGGTTCATTGCCAAATTCTTTTTACAAGGCTACAATTACCTTGGTACCCAAGCCACACAAAGACACAACTAAGACCAATATCCCTCATGAAAATTGATGCAAAAAATACTTAATAAAATACTGGCAAACTGAATCCAAGAACACATCAGAGAAATCATCCATCATGACCAAGTAAGCTTCATCCCAGGGATGCAGGGATGGTTCAACATATGAAGATCTATCAGTGTAATCAATCATATAAACAAACCGAAAAAGAAAAACCACATGATCATCTCATTGGATGCTGAAAAAGCCTTTGACAAAAATCCAACACCCCTTTATGATAAAGGTCTTGGAGAGATCAGGGATAATAGGAACATATCTAAACATAATAAAAGCAATATACAGTAAACCAACAGCCAACATCAAACTAAATGGAGAGAAACTTCCTCTAAACCAGGAATAAGACAAGGCTGTCCACTCTCCATATCTCTTCAATATTGTACTTGAAGTTCTAGCTAGAGCAATAAGACAACAAAAGGAGATCAAGGGGATACAAATTGGAAAGAAAGAAGTCAAACTCTCACTATTTGTAGATGATATGATAGTTTACATACGTGACCCAAAAAAACTCTACCAAGGAACGCCCACAGCTGATAAATACCTTCAGCCAAGTGGCAAGATGCAAGATTTAAAAAAAACAAAAAAAGCAGTAGCCCTATTTATACAGACGATAAAAAAAAAAAAATCAGAGTAACATCTGTTGTTCTTTTGATACAGCTATTGCCTATGAAACACAAACACGAGACTCAGCGCCCACATGAAGTTTATTGATAGAAGGGAAAGAAAGGGGGGTAGCAGGTGGCCAACCGAAAGCAGCAGCAGCAGCAGAGAGAGAGAGAGAGAGAGAGAGAGAGAGAGAGAGAGAGAGAGAGAGGAGCTCTTGGTGTGTTTGCTTTAAAAGAGAAACTTGTGCATGCGTAACTGAGTTCCCTGGCAGCCAGGTAAAGCTTGAGCAGCCAGGTAAGTCATGACATGGCCATGAGTGTCCTACCCATCGTCAGGGGTGGGGTCAGCAGACTGCTGGTTCCCAACAACATCAACCTTTATAATAGCCATTAACAACATAAAGTATCTTGGGGTAACGCTAACCAAACAAGTGAAAGACCTGTATAGCAAGAACTTTTGAGTCTTTCAAGAAAGAAATTAAAGAAGATATCAGAAAAAGGAAAGATCTCCCATGCTCATGGATAGGCAGGATCAACATAGTAAAAATGGCAATCTTGCCAAAATTTTGTTGAGCAATCCCCAACAAAATCCCAGCACAATTCTACACAGACCTTAAAAGAACAATATTCAACTTTATATGGAAAAACAAAAGACCCAGGATAGTCAAAACAACCCTGTACAATAAAGGAACTTCCGGAAGCATCACCATCCCTGACTCTATTATAGAGCTATAGTCCTGAAAACAGCTTGGTATTGGCACAAAAATAGACAGGAAGACCAATGGAATGGAACGGAAGACCCTGATATTAACCCACACACCTACGAACACCTGATTTTTGACAAAGCAGCTAAAAGTATACAATGGAAAAAAGAAAGCATCTTCAACAAATGGTGCTGGCATAACCGGATGCTGGTGTGTAGACTGCAGATAGATCCATATCTATCACCATGCACAAACTTAAGTCCAAATGGATCAAAGACCTCAACATAAATCCAGCCACACTGAATCTCTCAGAAGAGAAAGTGTGAGGTACCCTTGAATGAATTGGTATAGCAGACTGCTTCCTGAACATAACACCAGTAGCACAGACACTGAAATAGACAATTAATAAATGGGACCTCCAAACTGAGAAGCTTCTGAAAGGCAAAGGACACAGTCAACAAGACAAAATGGCAGCCCAGAGAATGGGAAAAGATCTTCACCAACCCCACATCTGACAGAGGGCTAATTTCCAAAATATACAAAGAACTCAAGAAGCTAGTCACCAAAATACCAAATAATCCAATTAAAAAGTGGGGTACAGAACTAAATAGAGAATTCTAAAAGGAGAAATCTAAAATGGCTGAAAGACACTTAAAGTGCTCAACATCTTTAGCCATCAGGGAAATGCAAATCAAAACAACTCTGAGATACCATCTTACTCCTGTCAGAATGGCTGAAATCAAAAACACCAATGACAGTTTATGCTGGAGAGGGATGTGGAGAAAGGGGTACACTCCTCCATTGCTGGTGGGAGTGCAAACTCGTACAGCCACTTTGGAAATCAGTATGGTGGTTCCTCAGGTAAATGGGAATCAGTCTACCTCAAAAGCCAGTAATTTAACTCTTAGATATATACCCAAAAGATACAGAGTCATTCTGTTCAACTATGTTGATAGCAGTATTGTTTGTAATAGCCAGAACCTGGAAGCAACCTAGATGCCCCTCAACTGAAGAAAGGATGGAGAAAATGTGGTACATTTACACAATGGAATACTACTCATCGGGGGAAAAAAAAAAAAAAACAATGGAATCTTCTAATTCGAAAGCAAATAGAACTGGAAGAAACCATCCTGAGTGAGATAACCAGTCACAAAAAGACAAACATGGTAAGTACTCACTCATATATAGATGTTAGACATAAAGCAAAGATCACCAGCCTACAATCCATACTACCAGAGAAACTAAAGGAGGACCCTAAGAGAGACATACATGGTTCCTCATGTATCTTCTGAGCAAATTGGGAGCAGCGAGGAGGGGAGAGGGAGTTAGGAGAAGGAAAAGGAGAGAAGAGGAGGGGAGAGGAGGACATGAGGAAGTAGGAAGATTGAGTCAGGGGAAGAATAGAGGAGAACCATAAAAGAGATACCATAATAGAGAGAGACATTTTAGGTTTAAAAAGAAATCTGGCACTAGGTAAATGTCCAGAGTCCTACAAGGATAACCCCAACTAACAATCTGTGCAATAGTAGAACCTTAAATGCCCTTCACTGATAATGAGATTGATGGCTACCTTATATGACATCCTAGAGCCTTTATCTAGTAGCTGATGGAAACAGAAGCAGAGCTGAACTCCTGGAATCCAGTTGCAGAGAGGAAGAAGTGATGAGCAAAGGGGTCAAGACCAGGCTGGAGAAACCCACAGAAACAGCTGACCTGAACAAGGAGGAACTCATAGGCCCCAGACTTATAGCTGGGAAACCAGCATAAAACTGACCCAGACCCCTGGAAGGTGGGTCTCAGTTAGGAGGCCTGGGCAGTCTATGGGACCTCTGACAGTGTAAACAGGGTGTATCCTGAGTGTACGAATGGACTTTGGGAGCCCATCCCCCATGGAGGGATAATCCTTTAGCCTAGAGACACAGGGGAGGGCCTAGGCCCTACCCCAAATGACTTGACAGACTTTGATGATCCCTCATGGAAGGCCTCACCCTCTCTGGGGAGTGGAGGGGGGCTGGGGGAGTCTGTGGGAGGGGGATGGGAAAATGGGAGGGAGAGGGAACTGGGATCAATATGTAAACTAAGAAAAAAATTCAAAGGAAAAATAAAAGAATAAGTCTGGTGACTCCACAGTAACTTGCATACCTACATCTGTCTATGGAACACAACGTAGTCTTCTCTGTATTTAATGAAGAATGTCACAAGATAGGGGAAGAGCACTCATGAAAATGGGACCCTGGCACAGACCTCAGCACTCATTACATGTTTACAAAATCCCTGCTCTCAGAAAACAAAACAACCCACGCAGAGAGACTGGTTCAATTTAATTATATTAGGAAAACAAAAGTCACAACAGGAAATGCAGCAGGGTATCTGATAAGCTCAATTAGCAGGAAAACCAAATAAAGTGATGATGGCTTGCCATTATGACCTTAGGGGTTAAAGATCTAATTTTCCATCTGGCAATATCTAGATTTCCAACACAGATGCTGATTCCACATGCTATACAGTGTCAGGTATTGTCTGGAGCTATCCTGAGTATCCTCCAGCCAACAGGTAGCCAGGGAGCTTTCACACTGTACTCTAATTTATTTGCTTCCTCATGAGCAGAAATAAGAAATAAATTCCGTATCACGGTTCATTCAAAGAGGTATTAAAAGGCAATTACAGCAGTAACAGAAGCATCTTGCTTCTCTCCCTTCTAGGTCAGTACGTGTTGTGTTCTACAGCACCCAGGAATTGTTCCAATCAAGAGCTCTGTAAGTCTCAACAAACAGCCCCTTGCTGTGCCTGATGAGAAATACATCTATACACTCAAGTCCTTCCTGACATACAAATGTACTGTCTTTTAAAGTTAACAGTCTTTAAAAGTTAACTGACTTTTCTTCCTTGAATGAGGCAAAGCAAACAGTTTTACAAATCAAGAAAATTTTACTAAGCATGTGCTGGAGCCTATTCATAAGTGTTCAGACCCTTTACTACCTATGCTGAAAGACTGTAAAGTTGGATTTTCTTATACTTTGAAACATAAACTTGCTAAGTCAGGGGTCAATGGACAAAGGCAAAGCTCTTGTTTGCATTGGATTTAAATCTTGTGACTTTTACACACATAAATGTCAGTGTGCATGCATGCACAGTGCACCATAGGTATAGGTCTAGGTACTTGGTCTTGAGATTTCCATTCAGAAGGGAGGTTAGTAATTCTATGTGTACATCATTTGGGTTTGAATCTAGAAGGCCCCACAGTTTCATTTATCTGAGTGCAAACCAATCTCTTCCGATTAAATTTTTATCCACCAACACCTCTTCCTAAACAATTCACCAAGCTGCCTATATTAATGAAGCATGCCCTCCTCCTTCCCTCCGTCCCCCTCTCTTTAAGACAGCCTTTCTATGTAGCCCAGGTGAGTTCCAAATGCCCCTACATAGAATCCAGCTGTTTCTAAAGTGTTCAGTAGCTATATGGTTTTCTCTCACATTAAGACTTAACTCTCCAGGCATTTCATTTTCGTCCTCCCAATTAAGTGGCATTTTACAAATGTAAACATGTACAAACTGTCCACGGATACAAAACTTACTTGGCCTTCTGAATCCACACACAGTAGTCTGAGATGTAGAGATCATTCAAAATGTATGCTGGGTCATTTTCCTGAAAGATTTTGTGAATATCCAGGAGACACTTTAAAACTGCACTTTTACCTGAAGAAAAAATTTTAAAACATCCAGTCAACTTTTGGGGGGGGGGGTAATCTTATTTCTTAACAAAGAAATTACGATCTTGAGAGGTAACTAGTGAACCATCTCTCCAGCCCCTTACTTTTTATTTTTGAAAGTTTTACTAAGGTACCCAGGCTGTCCTTGATCTTGTGATCCACCTGCCTATCTGCTGAGTATCTAGGGTTACATGCCTGTACTGCCACCTGGCTTGAAAGCACACTTTGAAAGAGAGAGAACTTGTTTTTTAAGTGGTCGTGCCCAATACCTAGAAGAGATCAGTACATCAGCAGGTTCCACTTGCAGCATCCTGAAGTGTATGCATGGCTTATGATCACTCAGCTTCTTTCCCTGCTGCTTCTTTAACTGGTACAAAAATCTCCATCCTGTCCCCTTGGAAATGCCTTATTCCTGCCCTCTCCCTCAGCCACCAGAGTCCGCATCCTTTCATGCATCCATCATCTTGTGTGCAGAGTCAAGAATTCTTCCCCATCTTTGGTTCTAGTCTCTCCAATTGGTCACACATTCTGTGGTGTGTTGTCTATCCCCACCCTGCATGTGCTTTCAACCCTATGGTGTTCTCTGATGTGTTCCTCTTTACTTTTCCACTTGACATATGTAGTGAGATATTCACTTTGTCTGCTTCTGTGGCACTGACCATGCCTGTTGTGGGGTGGAGCCAGGGGCGAAAGTGAACTAGAGAACTAGGTCTGAGGAGGAGCCGGGGACACTCTCTTGCTGGAGAGGAGAGCATCTGATGGAGCCTGCTGGTGTTCATCTGACTAAGTTGTAAGTTATTTCTCCCTGAATAAATATCTGTACGGCCTATTTGTTTATCCTGATCCTTATTAAACCATGATAGACATAGCCTGTTGACAAGTTCTAGCAAGTCTTAGGTCCCTTCAGCAAACCCTCAGCTCAGGTCCCTTTACTAAGCCCTGCAAAGGGAATAAAAAGGAGAGCCAGGAGATCCTCCCTGTAACCTCCGCTCACTTCACAAGGGAACCCAAGGCTCCAGGATGTAAGAGTCACAGACCACCCACTGCCACACTACCACTACACTCTTGGGTCATGCGGTCATATCACATTTTATTGTCCAAGAGCTAAGTCCTTGAAAACACAGGCCAGGCCTTTCCAAAAAGTGGTAACTATGCAGCATCCTCATATGCATACAGGAAGAATACCATGAAGTTCCATTGCTAGCCTACTAAGTGAGAGAAATGTCTACTACTTGGCAAGCTCAGACCTACAACTCCACAAGTTCATCCAGGTAAGTCAAGGGCAGTACTTATTGTGATTAGGATGGACACTTCCACTACCTGCCTATTTTGAATATGAAGTAGATAATATGGAAGGCAGAGTTTCAAGAAAAGAGGAAATACAGAGTAAATATCCCCAGTGAAACCAGAGTGTCACCAAAAACAAAAGCAAAACAAACCCAAAGGTGAGCTGAACCTGGATGAATGGTTGGGACAGCTCCAACTGTCAAAGGGACAGAGATGTCACACTAGGCACACACTAACTGGTTCCCTCTTGATTTCTCTATTTTGGTGGAGAGGATACAGCAGGAAGGTGTTACGATCTGTGATACCAACTGTCCTAGCTTGTTTTCCGTTGCTGTGATAATGACATGGTGGAGGTAGGGAGGAGGGAGGTTTATTTGGCTTACACTTCTACATCACACCACAGTCCATCGCCAAAGGAAGCCAGGGCAGGGGCTCAAGGCAGGACCCTGGAGACAGGAACTGAAGCAGAACCATAAAGGAACACCGCAACTTACAGGCTTGCTCAGCCTGAGTCTCAGTTAGGGCTTTTATTGCTGCAAACATCCTGACCAAAAGGCAAGTTGGGGATGGAAGTGTTTATTTGGCTTACACTTCAGCATTACTGTTCATCACTGAAGGAAGTCAGGATAGGAACCAAACAGGACAGGATTTCAGAGGCAGGAACTGATGCAGAGGCCATGCAGGGGTGGTGGCTTGCTCAGCTCACCCAAAGATGCAGCCCAGGGATGGTACCCCACACCATGGGCTGGGCCTGCCCCCACTGATCAGTAATTGAGAAAATGCCTTACAGCTGGATCTCATGGAGGCATTTCCTCAACTGAGACTCCCTCCCTCCTCTGATGACTCTAACTTAAATCAAGCTTAAAAAAAACAAAAAACAAAACAAAAAAAAAAAAAAAAAAAAAAAAAACTAAAAAAACAGCCAGTATAGTTTGTTTTCTTATAAAACCCAGGACCACCTGCCCAGTGGTGGCACCATCCATAGTGAGCTGAGACTTCCCCCATCCATCATTAATCAAGAAATCTTTCCCATAGACTTTCCTACATGCTAATCTGAAGGAGGCAATTCCTCAATTGCCCTTCCTTCCTCCCAGATGACTCTACAGGTGTCAGACTGACAAAGACCTAACCAGAACCCTGGCTGGCTGGCTGGCTGGCTGGCTGGCTGGCTGTAAAGAGTTTCAAGTAGCAATCACAGGATTTGCCACAAAGCTATTCACTTGTAACTTAAGTCTGCTTCTGTACAGTGTGACAGCTCCAGAACACTCCCTGCCAGGATCTTGTACCTTCTTAATATAAGCAGATGAACAAAAATCACAGAGTTTAGGGTGGTAGAGAGAGTACTGGCCCGTTCACTGAATCAACAGGGTGAGCCCACTGTGTGCCTAGTACTTACTGGTCTAGATGGAGGAACAGTTATTCATTCTTTACACCTCTTCTTTTTCAAAATGTCCACCAGATATGTGCAATTTATTCAGCAAAAACCGGGAAACTCACTACTACAGAGCTCTTAAGTACTGAGGAAGAATTTACACACATTTTGATTCATATGTATTTAAGCAACTGAGAAGCAATCCTCAGATGAAGTTTTAAAGCAATCACATGCAAAGGAGCTTGGGGAAATGGGAGTAATAAGCTCTTTTACAAAGCTGTGTCTCAACAAGCCTACCAAAACTAGTTTCAGAGAATTCTACGTCATAGCATGGTAAAAGATAACCAGGCTGGTGGCAGTTAACAATCTAAGAGAAGCACATGAAAATAACCCTCCCTCCAACCTGCTATTGACATCTGCAGCCAGCAGTGAGCTAGCAGCCAGCTTCCCCAGGGCAAACACAGCATCACAGCTCAGGTATTTACATGCAGGTGGCCAGCTGGGGTTTTTAACATCTCTTTTGTACCGAATGCTCTTTCTGTCACGTCCTCAGCTACTTATTCAGCAGCTATCCACAAAAGAAAAGGCTGTCACATGGCTGGTGACCAGAAGCTTACCTAGCCACACAGTCCCTGCCTCCTGTGGGGCTTTTACACAGTTGTGGTCTTGTCATACATCCTATGAGCATTAAAAAGCTGTGCAGGCCTAAAGCTAAGATAATTATTTAGGCTCAAAGGCACTGCAGAAAAGTGACCAGTTTTCAAGCAGTTCACTGCCTGCTCCAGAGTATAAAAACAAAGGTACTTTTTGCACAGTAACCACGGTAACTATTTTCACTACAGGAAGGAGCTAGCAGCATTCCCAGGATGTCAAATGGCCCCAAATTCAAGAGATTCTCTAGGACTGATTGGCTGGATAAGCCAACCCTGTTCAAGTAAGAATGTTCTCCAGGAATCTAGGGTCTCCTATTCACCTATGAAGGCACCAGGAACTAGTGTTCTGGGATTATAAATGACAAACACCATGAATGTTTTATTTCACTGGAATGACTGTCTAATGACAGGAACAATGACAACATAAATATGGAGGACAACAATAAGTGGGTAGCCAGTAAACACGATTTAACATGTTCTCTGGCTTTCCCTCCTATTAGCAGACCAGGTTGGGCAATAATCTCTCAGTGGCAGACCAACTTGTGGTTGAAGGCATTTAAGAAATTGGTTCCACCCCTAGAAGGATCAGAGTAGGAGATGCTTTTGCTGGTTAAATGACAGAACAGGAATAATAACGTAAGTTGCTATCTATACCTAAGATCTCTATTTCTTTTCAGTGGGCAGCTACAGCTTTCTGGGTTTCTGGCTCTGATCTATGCAGGTGCAGGTCAACCTGCACTGTTATAGACCTCTTTGTTCTCCAGGAAACATCTTCCTTGGTTTTTGAAACACTATCTTTTTAGCTGCTCAGCGAGTAGCCCAGGCTGGCCAAAGAGTGGAGAGCCAGGAATGAACATTAAGTAGCTGCTGTCACTCTATTTCATTCTCTGGAGGCAGGGTCTCTCACTGAACCTGGCAGCTAAGCCCTGGCTTTTTATATGTGTGCCAGGCATTTAAACACAGGTCTTCATACAGCTGCCTCCTTTATGCTTTAAACTGCACAAAACAAGAAGTCAAGGAAGGGATAGAAGACTCTAAGTCTTGACAGAAAGGCTTCCTCTTCATTATTTATAAAACATAGCAGAATAAAAGCAACAGTATTTATCATCTGTAAACATAATTTAGCAGATACAGGGGTAAACTTCTTAGAGTCTGGTGAGACAATATTATCAGAAGAGATATCGTAGCAATTATTTTAACATTAATTTCCATAGCTCATTTGAGCCTAAAAAGGGAGGGGGCAGAAACAATCAAATCAATCAAAATTAAGAGAACCAAAATGAGGTGATCTGCTTCATGATCAAGCCCTGTTAAGATGTAGAATAAAGTTAAGTCCCTATCAACAAAATGCTTCTCAGCCTAATAAGTCTTTCACATCCTCAAATTCCACTTAAAGTTTCTGCATTGTAGGAAGCACATACTTAAAACAATGAGTTCTTCTCTTAAGTAGAGTATGGGTCAGTTTAAAACAAAATAAAACTATTCTTTGCTACTACAGTTACTCATAGTATCCATATATCCACAAACAGAATTAACTTTATAAGTGGTCCTGCCACTTATAGTTTCAATCTAGCAACTAATTTTCCATTCAAGATCAATTCAGACATTCCTTTTTCTGGAAACAAAGTTCTAGCACTCCCCCAGGCCCACTTCAGGTACACTCACAATGCCTGG